AGCACAAACAAAGACTCCCAAAAGTAGACTTCCAAGCTGCCTCAGAAGGTGGCAAGAATGATGAGAATAAGTGTGTTCAAAGTGAGAGGAAATGTTTTGAGGGGAACTAATCCCTATGTGTGTTTTATATAAAATTTAAACATTCATCCTATTTTCCAATTACACCTTGTACAAACCTCTGGATACTAGATGATAAAGCACTGCCTAAGGAATGGTGGCCCTCTTTCATTTCTAAAACAAACTGAGATTCTGGATTCACCCTTTCTACCTCCATGCTCAGGGACTTCTCTTGGGACATAATCTTTTTTCTTTTATCTAGTTCGTGCTCACTATTATTTACTTATGTGGATAGTACCTCCTTAATAAACTCAAATTTGCCTCATACACTTCATGATTTGCATTGCCATGAAATAAAGAAATCCGCATTTATCAGCAGAGTCTTACCACCTCATTTTAGCCAATTTACTTGAATGAAATCTGCTGCAAATTCATGGCTCCCATTCTTCTCCCATTTTGGATCGTTTTTCCTTTTTTTGGCCTCCATGATATGCCTGTCTCCTGACTCTTCTCCCTCTCTGACATCTCCTACTTAATTTTCCTCCTTTGCTCACTGAAATCCTGTGTTATTTTACCCATAATCAGCTTTCAGCTGTCCTTTTAATCTGTACTCTTTCAAATTGATAATATTTATTCTTAGGGCTTCTACCATGCTCATAACATGTTCATGTGGTTTCTGAGGTGTTCCCCAGCAAGACTGGGCCCAGCTGCTTACAAACGCAGTCCACTTTATTATACTTTCACTCTGTCCTCTATATTTTCCCCATCTCTATCATTGTGCATACTTGGAATTGCTTCCCCCAAAATTCTATCTGTAGCAAAATCTTTTTGTCAGGTCTGCTTTCAAGGCAAACCAAACTAAGGCAGCTTATATCCTAAGTATAAATAAAGTTGGTTCTTCTCTCCTTTCTACTTTTTAAAATCAGATCCTCATCTGGATTACTTTAGAAACTCTTACCTTGACCCTGTAACTCTAATTCTGGTCCTCTTCAATGTATTCATTACATTGCAGACAAGCTTTAAAATTGACTCGATTGTGTCACATTTGTCTTTAAAAGTTTTAATGGTTCCTAACTTCCCCCTTCATATAATAAATGCAAAGTTCATAAAATGAACTATACAAGAACATGAATGGCTTACTCTACAGCCTCAACTTCTACCACAGCTGTACTGAGCTTAGTGCCCTTATCAAAGGAACGTGTTTTTTCTTCTAAGACTGCTGGAGCTGTGATGGGTTCAGATCCTTTCAGTGTTGTGATGCACACTTATAATTTTGTTTCCCCTTTAAGCAGCCTAAAGAATATACTCACCCATTTCCCATCCTTGTGATTTGGCATAAACATCCAACTTATAGAATATTCTCATTGGACATTAATTTATTTCTTTATTCTCAAGTTAAATATTTTCAATGATACAGTAGGCTCATTTCTGTTTTCAACTATAAAACTAATTTATTCAGTCATATTACATACAATGTTTTTAAAAACTGAAAAAAAAACAACCAGTCTCCTTAATATGAGTTATGTTTTTGATACAGTCTTCTAATTAATGTTTTATATAGATGTTAGTTGTTTAATAACCTAAAATTAAAATATAGCAATAATAAAAAAACTAATATTTAAGTGCACATACTATGCATCAAGTACTGTTCTAAGTTTTTACTTATATTAACTCTAATTTTCATGATAGCCTTGTGAGATATGTGCTCACAGTATCTCTACTTTATTGTGAAGAAATTAAGACACAAAGTAATTGACTTCTACTAACCATACAGTTAGTAGATAGTAAAGCCACAATTTAACCAAAGCTCATGCTACCATTTATAGTCGGTATTAAATTTCTGATTATATGGAAGGTACTCAGAACAGTGTCTGGGACATGATATAAATTTAATAAGTGCTAGATATTATTATTCTTATGATGAATACAATAATTTATGTCTCACTTAAGTTCTCAGACTTTCACTAAATTAGGTAGGTTTTTACTTTAAATTAGACCACCCATAATTTTTCATCCTACCACGCAATCTTAACTACTATTCTTTATGAAAACATAACATTTTACAGAATTATCCTGCAATAATTAGTTTTTGCTGTTGACCATATTTCTTTTAATTTTGATTGACATTATCTTTATGCAGTAAGCTTTCCTTGCTGATTTTAGGTTATTTTTAAATGTTAGATTGTCAGGAAAAAATAAATAAAAAGAAAAAAATCCTTAAAGGCTTATGGTTCTTTATACAAATCAGAAATTTCTTTGCAAAGATTTTAGGATGTAAATTAATTAATTGTTTACAACTGTTATAAAACATATTTCTGTTGATACTACAATGCTCAAAGGACCTATACAAAATGAATCCTATTGCTTTTCAATATCACAGAATTTCCATTATTTGAATTTGTAAAACATATGCCTGATGTGCCCTGTATGCCTCTCAGTCTTTCTCATATGTTCTTTCTGGGTGCTCATTATCTCCAACTTTCCTTTCAGCAACTGTTGTTTGACAAAACTGCGAGGCTCCTAATCATCTGAGTCACAGTCTCCTAAATACATTCCATTGTGCCTCTGTCCCTCTTAATTTGAAGATTCCAGACATGGCCTGACCAGTGCAGAGCACAGAGGGGCTATCAACTTTCCTTGACCAGGGCATCTATTTCCAGAAATGTAGCCAAAGGTCATATTAGCATTTTTGGCACTAAAATACAGTGTTGGCTCATGTGTATGTGCTGTCGACCAAATCTCCCATGACTTTTTCACATGGATTCCCACTAAATGAGGCTTCCAACATCCTATACTAATGTAAACAATAGTAAGCAGATAAGTGAAGCAACATATAAGTTCTAATTAATGTTTATTATTCTAGAATGTTGAGATAGATTCCCAAGTATATGTATATATGTACTTGCTAAATATTTTGTCTTCACTGAAGTTATTGATGAAGACATCATCTAAGAAAATCAGAAACACAGAGCCTTATGGTATGTGATTAGAGTCATTGGTTTGTAAGGAATGGGTTTTTGGATGTAAATATTTGGTGAGCAATGAATCAACTACTGTTGATCCTCCAAAGGACTTCATGTTCAACCACATTTATCTTTCCTATTCCTGAGAATATCATATAGACTCTTAAAGGACTTTTGGAACTAAAATGAATAATGATGAATTTTTCCATTATGATTGGAGTGATTTTATAACTATGTCTAAAAAGATAATAAGGAATTTTAATCTGTATTTCATAATTATCCTTATTTTCAAAGTGATTATTAAATAGCACCAATTAATATTAAATCTTACGATGACTCTATGTTTATATTTTCTGACTTTTATATGAAATTAACTGTTTCCCTTGTTTGAGGTTTCTGATATAAAAGAAACATTGAGATATTTAAGCTTGTGTGTCTGATTTATGTCATTTAACATTATGGCCTCAAGGATCATCCATTTTCCTATATATGACTCAATTTTATCTTCCTTTATGGCAAAGTAGCTCTCCATTATATATAAATATCACATTTTCTCTATCCATTCATCTGCTGATGGACACATAGGTTGCTTCCAAGATTTAGCTATAATGAATTGTGCTTCTATAAACATGGGTGTGCATCTGTCACTGCAGTATGATGTCTTTAACTCTTTTGGGAAGATGCCTAAAAGAGGAATAACTAGGTTGAATGGAATTTCTAGTGTTAGTTTTTTTTTAAGCAATCTCCATACTGATATAAATATGAATAAATCAAACAGCAAAAGAAAAGATAGATAATAGTAAACAGAAGGACAGATCTTTTTCAAAAGGGAAAGGAACCAAGAGATGGAAGGATGAAAAGAAGAATTAAGATGTGTTACGTACACGCACCATCTCCCAACAATGAATGTAATCATTATGTACTATAAACATGTACCAATAAAGATAAAATTAGAAAAGAAATTACCAATTTAACATAAGAAAAAGTCACATAGCCTTCCATTTTTTTTTTTTTTTTTTTTTTTTTTTTTTAAGACCCACTGACCCAACTCCCCGCCCCGCCCCCCCCCCGTGTATTTTTAAAATTTTTTAAAACGCATGGCAGGGCCAGGGATTTGGCTCAGTGGTTCTGCTACCTGCCTCTCAAGTTCAAAGTCCCAAGTTCGATCCCCAGTACCAAAAAAAGAAAATACATGGCAATTGGAAACTGGATAAAGAAGATGTGGGTTTTCTATAAAATGGAATACTACTCAGCCATAAAGAATGAGAAAGTAGATTTATTCATAGTTAAATGGGTACATTTTGAGGATATACTCCTAAGTGAAATAAATAAGGCACACATATGCAAATACCGAATAGTATCTCTGGTGTGAAAAACTAAAATAGTACTCAAGATCCTAATGGGACAATAAGCAAATAGGAAGAAAAGGACCAAAGGTGTAGGGACAGTGAGAAGGATAGGGAAGGGGGAATAAAGGAAAAGGAAAAAAATATGAGAAAATGTAAAAATGGGATTAAAGTGTTTGAAGGGGGGAGGGGAGGGAAGGGTGAAGGGAGGGTGGGGACAAGGGGAAAAAATGAGAACCATGACCTGGCATGTAAAGGTACAAGATCCCAGTAATGAATGTAACTATACTGTCTACCTAGAATGTACCAATAAATTAAATTAAAAAAAGAAAATACACGGCAGTCTTATCTAATAATTACTGATTATTTCCATACCTAAATTGAAAATATGATAAGGTAATAGATAAAAATAATGAAGCAAAATCTATGTGACCGCTGTCATGCTAATTTTTAATTAAAATCATGCAATTTTGAGAAGACACTGAACTTATTTTAAATAACATTAAATTACCAACAAGATGATAAATTTTGTGTATGGTCATTACTGTCTATTCTCATAGAATTAGTCCTAAAATAACTAAAATAAATTGTTTCTCCTTGTTCAGACATTTTAATTGCCTCATTTAAATTCCAGGGTGCTTATTGGTTCGCCTTTAGTTGGTCAACCCAAAACCAGAACTGGAGATGTCTATAAGTGTCCAGTTGGGAGAGGTGATAAAAGGTGCATAAAGTTGGATCTACCAGGTATGTAAAATCCAAAAGTTAGTCTCATCTTAAATCTTGCCTTCTATTCTCACTGAAAACACTTGCAAGTGACTCACAAAAATATTAGAAGTAATCTATCAACTTTCTTTCACTATTATCTAAATTCATATAGAGGAACATTTGATTTCCTCTGCCCTGCTTTTATAACTTTTACCTTCCCCCATTGTTCTGGCTTCTTTCTAAACTAGTGTAACATGAGAGAACTTTTTCAAATAACTTATCCATTACATTCTTTGCACAGAATTTTAGTGCCTGATTTTTAGAAGAAAATAGCTTAAGAAGAATTATAATTTTAAAGACTAACATGAAATACATTTATATTGAAGTAAATATATTTAATAGAAATATCACAGTAGTTGGAACATGAATGGAAAATTTCTCCTAGAATTATCTAGGAATTAAATCTCTATCAGTGTTCTATATAATACAAAATATCATGAAAATGATTTGTAGCTCCACAAATTTATTACAAATAGTACATTTTTTAGTTCTTTTTTCAATTTCCAATTAGTTTGTTAATTCTTTTAGTAAACATTTGGGATACATAATAATTACATTCATCTTGGGAAATTGCTATATATACATGCCACATCCTGATTATTTCCCCCTGTTATGTTCACCCTTTTCTTTTTTAGATCTCCTACCTATCCCCACAGCCTCTACCTCTTGATTTCCTACCATCTCTCTTTTATCTTGCTCTTTAAATTATTTATATTTGGGTCTTTCATATTAGAGAAACTATGCAATATTGTATTTATTCATTATGAACGTTTTTTTCTTTACATTCATGAGTTACAGAATTTATTTTAATACCCTTCCCTGATAATTCCAACATCTTGAATATCTCATCACTTTCTATTTATTAACTTTCCTTAAGGTTGTGTCACATTTTTTTGTTTGTTTGTTTCTTCTTATACGTAGTATTTTGGGTCATTGCATGAATTATTTTTTTTTAATTACCAGTATGGAAATTCTAGATTTTATTATATGCCTTTGAATAGACTTAACTTTCTGTGTTTACAAGCAATTTACTTGCCCTGCTGTTTATTTATAACTACTGACTTTCTTACAGTGTGAAGCACTTAAAAATCTATTCAGTTCTTATTTCTGGTGATCTGTTTAAAGTCTACTTTGCACATTGACTATTGACTATTGAGTCATTCAGCTAGTTGTACAGAAAGTGAGCATAGAACTGTCCTTTTGTGGCTCTTTTTCATAGAATATTCCTCCTCACTTTGCAGATGTTCTTATTGTTCTCCAATGTCTACCCCATTTTTCTACAACATAATAAGACTGAGAATCTGTGTGCATTTTGCCACTATGTCGGGAAACGAAAATAAAAACAAACAGCAAAGCAAAATGAAACAAAAATAAACTCACCCAGTGTAAATCTCTTTTTCTAAGTATAGATGTCTCTGTAGTTTTTGCCTGTTTTGGGTTGCTTCATACATATTTTCTTTCCTTTTCCTAGAATTTATGGTTACTCCATAACTGGAAACTGGAATAGAGTTTTTAAATTAGTATAGAGATTTCAACTACATCAAGAATAGTAACTGTCTGCAGTAACCCCTAATTGTCCCTGCAATGTTGATCTTAGGATAAAACAATTTGAATTCAGGTTTTTAAAAAACAATCTATATGATAGTTCAAGCCCACTTGTTTTCAAAGCAAATCATAGTAAAGTTTTGGACAAAGATCAACACTCAGATGAGGAGGTGAAACGGATCATTCAGGAAGCTCTTCTTGCGTTGTTCACGTTAAACCTATAGATAATCTTAAAGTAAGATCAACTCCTAAGCACAAATAAGTGAGACAAATCTTTTTTGAACTTGAATTTTACTGCTTTCAAATATCTATGCACTCCATTCAGCAGGGGATAGAAGCTTTTGCTTTTCCTTCCCTTCCCTTTTCCTTCCTTCCTTCCTTCCTTCCTTGATATTTAACTTTCTTGATTTCATGTAAGTGGATTTTCTTGCCAGTTTTATCAGGACTCAACATTTTTTTTTTTTTTGAGACAGTCTCACTATGTAGTTGAGACTGACCTGGAACTCACTAGGTAGCCCAATCTGGTCTCGAACTCACAGCGATCCTCCTGCCTCAGCCTCCCAAGTGCTGGGATTACAGACGTGAGCCACCACACCTGGCTCTAGGACTCAACATTTCTATTTGGAATATGTCAGATGTACTTTCTGCATCATATACCATTTATCCAAACTTCTGGCCACTTCTTTGGCTTACTCCAGTTTTCTTTGTAACCTTCATGATATTCCCACGACTGTGGATATCATGGTCAAAAACTATTTGAATGATTTCTCTGGTCTTCTATGCATTTTCCTTTTTCTTGCCAGAAACCACATTTCCTCATTGGTTGTTTCTAACAAATAATATAAGATAACATCATATTTACAATGTTATGAATCTAAATGTTTTATTTATTTTAATTACCAAAAACATGTGAAAGGCAAGTCCATATTCACATGGCCCTACTGACTCTACCTTCTTTCACAGTTCCAACAGTTCAGATTCGTTAAACTTTAAAACTATTTGAAACAGTGACACTAACTGTTTCTGGGAAAAATGCCAGCCCTTCAGCCTTGGCTAGTTCAGTATATTTCTTAATAATACTGGGAAGTCTATTCAGATGAACTAAGAGAAGAATGTGCTATGTACATTCTTCATAGATATGTTCATGCGTTATGAACAAAGCAAATGTCTTAATGAGTATATGCTTAATTTCATTTTGTGGAACTTACCTTCAGCCTCATAAAATTTTGTTCTCTCTTGTAGTTAATACATCAATTCCCAATGTCACAGAAGTAAAAGAGAACATGACATTTGGATCAACTTTAGTCACCAACCCAAAAGGAGGATTTCTGGTAAGAAAGGAAAGAGTAATAATATTTCATAACAGGAATACTATCACTACAAACCATTAAACTTTTTGTTATGTAATTTTGTCTTATAATTTTTAATTTTTTAAATTCTTTAAAAGGCATGTGGGCCCTTATATGCCTATAGATGTGGAAACCTGCATTACACAACAGGAATCTGTTCTGATGTCAGCCCCACATTTCAGGTCGTGAACTCCTTTGCCCCTGTACAAGGTACAGATTTTATTCAGCGTTTTTGCATGTTCGAAAAGCGTAAGCAATGAATGAGACGTATGTATACATAAGAGCATACCAAAATGGTTTAAGTGTTTTGTCAGCTACCAGTGTTACCAATTTAGGTAAATGTTTGCTTTGCCAGTATATAACCAAAGTTCACTGGTATTTTTGGAATTGATACTAGTATAAATAGCTTTTATAACATCGTGTTTAAACTTCATATCTACAGCTGTCACATTGCTTGTATTTAAAGGATAAGTCTCTTTGAGAAACTTAGTTTCATTATAAATAAACCCAAACTGAGAGCGTAATATCAAATGCATATTGAGAAAATTTCTAAATATAACTGTTATAAAATCTTAATTAAAATTAATTAGATATGGGTTTTACTTGGTACAAACTCCAAATCAATTCTAATCGAATACAGTTATTTCTTAGGTCCTTTGCTTTTTTCTGAAACAATTACACGCAAAACATCCACTTTGTAGACACCAATTCAACGTTTAAAATGAGCTTCTTTCAGCTGTGAAAACATTTCATATACCTCTGAAAAGAGAGATTCCAGTTTTTCAAAATTGCTTCCTTTTATTCCAGAATGCAGCACTCAGCTGGACATAGTAATAGTGCTGGATGGTTCTAACAGTATTTATCCCTGGGAAAGTGTTACAGCTTTTTTAAATGACCTTCTGGAAAAAATGGATATTGGTCCTAAACAAACACAGGTATGTGACTGTGTTTTCATTTCTGATGTTCTAAATATAAATATTCACAGAATTCTAATTAATCAAAATATTATAAAAATGATAAAGCTAAAATTAAGGATGTTCTTTATCACTATTTTTATTTTTTATTAAAAGAGACATTACTTCAAACCACGTTCTTTTTTTTTTTTTTTTTTTTTTTTTTTTT